ATGAGAAAGCCTTTGATTCCGTCGAAATTTGGGTGGTGCTGCAGTCCCTTCAGCGATGCCAAGTTGACTGTCGGTATATCGAAGTGTTGAAGTGCTTGTACAGTAGGGCTACGATGGCTATCCGAATTACAGAACCAGAGTACGACACCTATCCAATTACAGAGTGGTGTAAGACAGGGTGACGTTATATCCCCGAACTCTTCACCGCTGCATTGGAAGACCTTTTCAAGCTTCTGGACTGGAAGGATACGGTATTAACATCAATGGCGAGTACATCACTCACCTTCGATTTGCCGACGATATAGTCCTTATGGCAGAATCGCTGGAGGACCTAAAACACTATGCTCAATGATCTCAATAGTGTTTCCCAACGGATAGGTCTTAAGGGGCTACTCCATGCGAACGACCTTGAGCATTTTGCTGGCGGCGTGCCGCTCGCTACAATATATTGCGTAAGAAATATGTAAGACGCCACCTATTGTACGAACGTAGTATTATTTTTTCAACATCAATACACTATTTTATGGAAATACACACAGCGTACAACGATAAATGTATTTTAATTTTTTTATTCGGTATATTAGTTGCATTATATTAGAATTATGTATTTTCATATATTATCTAATTATGAAATTTTATAATTAATTATATATTAAAAATGAAGCATTGAAAATTATGAGTTTAAAAGATACCTATTCCCTATACGTATATAAATAGATAGCTCGCCTTTTGTACAAATATTTGGTGCAATAAAGAATAAATAAATAAATAGGATGTTTCACAGATGTGTTTTTGATTATTGTTAATTTTTACGTGTCACGTATTGAAAAGTAACATACCTACCTACTAATTTTTGAACTGAGCACCTTGTAACTTAGCCTGCTTATTACTTATGCTGGCAGACATTATCCTCACCCCAATGATTGATGAGGATGAAAATCAATTTTATTTCTACATACGTAATTATATTTATTTATACATAAGGGTAACGTTAATAAAGGTAATACAAAAATCAACAAGAAGTATAAGGGTTCAATCTTTCAATTTCAATTGTAAAAAACGTTACCCCCACACTAGGATTTTCTCCTGTGTCGTGGAGGCTGTTTACAAACATAAATTGCACAAGGACAAACATCCAGACCCGGAACAATTATTTGTAGGCCATACAAATATTTGTTCCGTGTGAGATTCGAACCCGCGGCCCCCAGCGCAACAACTGATTGCTAAGCCACTGCGCCACGGAGCCGTCACAGGGTTATAGCTAAAGTCCCGTTTTGAACGGGACTGTCCCTTTTCTCGGTCACCTGTCCCATTGTCTCCAAACAAAGCTCCGGGACACAAAAAATTGTCCCGTAACTCGTTGGATGGAAGTATTCAAAGTCAACAATCTTCAACATAACTTTTTTAATCGAATATATTTTATGTCTATCTGGTAAAAATGCTCCGGTAGAAAGAGTATTTTTTTTATTTTGAATAAATTGTGGACGTCTGAAAGAAACACTTACGGTTCCAGTTCTAAAGGCGATGTTGTTAACAAAGATAACAATAAAAAAACCTGAGCAGAATTTTATTCTTACTTAAAATCATCACCAACGTTATTAAAGCAAATTTAATCCACTGACAAAAAAATTCATAATTTAAAAAAAAATGTTGCATTTAATAATTACCGTCTATACCGAATATAATTTTATAGTGAACACTAATTGTATAAAGTTATAGTTTTTAGAGTATAAATAAACCCATGTCCTGTTTTGAGTTAAAAAATAAATGGTCAGTTTAGTCTTTTTAGTTAAATTTAGTTTTAAAATTTTTAGATAGTAAAAAGTAGGTATATTAGTACCTACTTAGATACTTTTTACCGAATTATAAGTATAGAACACCTTATGTACTCAATTATTTTTTGAAAAACAAGAAAATACAAGCAATAAACAATATACTATATTTTAGCAAAAAACTATAACTTAGTAATACTAATTATAACTTAGAACATAAATGAAAAACTCATAACTGACTTTTTGGCCCGACCCAGGATTCGAACCCGGGACCTCATGATCAGCAGTCGCACTACTACAAGCACTAGACCAACGAGGCAGTACTATACCTAATAAGATATTGTGGTTGGGTATTAGGATTATTTTTAACTGTATACTATACTGATAATATTGAATTAGCCTTTTATAGTGTAAATTATAATATTTGTCGAAATTTTAATTATGGATTCGAACCTTACATGCTAATGGTGCTTCATTTTTTTATTTGCATTTACTTCAAAGAAAATACACGCAAAAAACTTCATCGCGCAGTAAAAAACACAAGAAATATATGTATAACTAATACGAAAAATTATACCCAAACAAACAAATAATACTAGCTATAAATAACCTAATAAGCAATAATATTATCGACTGATATGACGTGAGCGTATGCGCTGGTCGACGCTCTAACGACACGGGCTTCACGTCAAAGAGCTCAGTGCTCACTGACTCCAGCAAGCACGTGGGCAGTGAAAACGCCCAGATTTTAAAATAATTTCTTAATAAAATCAAATTATGGTCTTTTGAAAAAAAATTTATAATAGAAATGTTCATTAATAAATTGCCTATCCATTGGTGTAAATCGCAAAATAAAAAAATACTTACTTTACGAGGAGATGCATGTTATCAATAATAATTTCACATTTATGTGGTTTCGTCGTAAGGAGATTATATTAATATTTATACCTTTAAAAAAAATTGGATATAGCTTTTATGGAATCAAGATTATGTAGAAATATAATGTGTTTTTTATTTGTTGATATATCTTTTAAATAAAAAGTAGATAGCTCCTAAAAACCGCACAAATAACGACTAGCGCGACATTTTGCTCAACCTGCGCCTTAAGATGAACATGGACAAAACAAAGATCATGTTTAATGTCCATGTCACATCTATGCCGGTAGTTGTTGGGAGCACAAAGCTCGAAGTTGTTGACGAGTATGTTTACCTGGGACAAATAGTCCGACTAGGTAAGTCCAACTTCGAACGAGAGGTCAATCGACGGATTCAACTCGGTTGGGCAGCGCTCGGGAAATTACGGCACATCTTTTCATCAGGTATACCTCAAAACATGAAAACGAGACTGTACAACCAGTGCGTGTTGCCAGTGATGACATATGGAACTGAGACGTGGTCCTTCACTGCTGGCTGGATGAGGAAGCTCAAGGTCGCTCAGCGAGCTATGGAGAGGACTATGCTCGGAGTTTCTCTGCGTGATAAACTTAGAAATGAGGATATCCGCAGTAGAACCAGAGTGACCGACATAGCCCAACGGATTAGAAAGCTGAAGTGGCAATGGGCCGACCATATAGCTCGAAGAACCGACAGCCGATGGGGAAAAAATTTTCTTGAGTGGCGGCCTCGTACCGGCAGACGAAGTGTAGGGCGTCCCCCGACTAGATGGAGTGACGACCTGGTAAGACATGCAGGAAGTCGATGGATGCTGGTGGCTCAGGACCGTGCTTTGTGGCATTCCTTGGGGGAGGCCTATGTTCAGCAGTGGACTTGTGAAGGGCTGTAATGATGATGACTCGCGGAATTGCTTAGGCTGTTGCTTGTTCTGGGATCGCAGCTACACTGCTTGAGGGTGGACGAAGTGCTCATGCTACCTTCAAGTGACCACTCAATTTAACAACTCCCATTTGTAATATATCGGAACAAAGTAATTTTGCCTGAAGTATTAAAACATACGAAAATGATAGTGTGGGATGAAATAACCATGGCTCATAATGATGGCGTAGAAGCTTTAAATAGAACTCTACAAGATATAAGAGGAAATAAGAAGTTAATGGGTGGTGTAACGGTTTTGCTGACTGGAGATTTTAGACAGACTCTACCAGTAGTGCCAAAAGGAACTAGAGCAGATGAAGTTAAGGTGTGTCTTAAGAGATCCACTTTATGGCCTCTAATTAAAATCCTCAAGCTCTCGAAAAATATGCGGAGAAAAAGAGTCTGCTGGTGGATTTGCGAATCTTCTACATTTTTTTTTATAGGATAGGGTGACAATCGAGCACACAGTCCACCTGATGGTAAGTGGTTGCTGTGGCCCATAAAATTTGAAATTGGCAACGGTGATTACCCGATAAATGACGGAATGATAACCATCCCTGATAATTTGTGCACAGTTGTATTTACGTTACAGGAGTTAATATCCAAAATTTACCCAGATATTGCTCATATCCACGGTAAGCAGCCAATGGAATGGTTGTGTGAACGTGCCATATTGACCAAGCAGCGGCAATCAACGATATACTGTTAACGTCTTTTGAGGGGGAAGAAATGGTGTACACGTCAATAGACTCTGTGGTCACTGGTCAACACTGATGACGCAATTAACTACTCTGTCGAATTTCTTAATTCACTGAAACCATCGGGTCTTCCACATCATAAGTTTATTCTGCGTGTGGGCACTCCTGTTATGTTGTTGTAAAATTTAAAACCTCCTCAACTATGCAACGGAACCAGCCTAAAAGTAAAAGCGTTACAACGCAATGTAGTGGAAGCCACAATTATAACTGGATGTGCGCAAGGGGAAACTGTATCTGTACCAAGAATTCCCTTGACCCCGAATGATTTTCCCATTGAATTCAAACGAATACAGTTTCCCCTCAAAGTCTGCTTTGCAATGACCATAAACAAATCACATGGGCAGACATTAAAATTTGCGGGTGTAGACTTGAGAGAAAATTGTTTTTCACACGGGCAATTCTATGTGGATTGCTCACGCGTAAGCTCGCCCAGTAGTCTGATAATTTTGGCGCACAGTAACAGATTAGCAAAAAATGTGGTGTATAAAGAAGTTTTGCAGTTTACTAGCTTTTGCCCGCGACATTCAGTTATAATTGTGGCTTGTACCAGCAGACTCTTTTTCACACATGGGCGATATAACCGAACTCCACGCGGACGAAGTCGCGGGCAAAAGCTAGTGAGTTAAATAGAAGGAAAGAATAATAATAATACTTAATTAAGTAGCATTGTTTTTATTAAATTAATAACAAGGTATAGTACTTAATTAGGTTTAACAATAACACAGCCTTTTGATAGACTTAATAACATTACACTTGAAATTGTATCAATTAAATTAATTAAATTATTAATTTAAATAAAATGTAATAAAAGAACAGTCGAACAAAATTATGAAATTTAAATTAACTAAATTAAATATAATTTTGAAAATTTTTAAAACCTCTACACTTTATCTATAAATGAAATTCAAGAATCTGAAGAAAAACCTTTATATATTACTATTTACTAGCTGTGTCCGCAACAGCGTTGGCATAGAATTTTTATTTTAAAGCAGAGTAAATTGGTAATTTCAAATTATATCAATCAAATTAATTTAATTCATTGGATAAATAAAATGAAATAATAATATTATGCTAAGAACAGTCGAATAAATAAAGAATAGAAATTATTTTAAAATAATTTATTTCAGATATAAATTATTTGGAAGTTTTTGGAGAGTAGAAGCACTTTATCTATTAAATAAATTCTTTATATACTCATATTACCAGCTGTGCCCGCAATTGCGTTGACATAGAATATTTTTCTTCTATTAATTTAAAGCGGAGTAAATTGCTAATTTACTCAGAAGTTTTATCATTTTGTGCCCAATTTTAATTTAATAAAATACATCACTGTTCCAAATCAATTAGTATTATAATATGTACATAGTTAAAAGATATAATCTCTTTATGTAAAAATCAATTGCTGTCCGTTAATCTCGCTAAAACTCGAAAGTGGCTTTACCGATATTTGATAAAAGTTTTTGTGTGTGTTTGAGTGGCTCCCTAGATGGTTAGATTCACAATTGGACCCGGTAGGTGGCGTTGTTGTAGAGATGCAGAAATCACCCGTACGAAGCCGGGGCGGATCGCTAGTTTATTCATAAAAACATGTCAGCGTGTGTCTGACTCGAACATTGAGGGTTAAGCATATTAATTCTGGATTCTTTATATATGTATAATTAATAAAAAATGTTAGTTTAGTAAATGTGAACTAAATCACGAAGAATTGACAATTCGGGAGTTGACAATTACTGTAATTTAAACGATATGTACATAAGTATATAAACCCTGTCAGACTTTTGAAGACCCGTGTGAGACGTAACCCTTGTGAGACGTATGTAGACCCTTCCTTTACTTTTATAAAAGGGAACATCTCAATTTTGAACGAATGCAATTACAGCAATAAATTATATATAAAATAATAATTTATCTGAAACAAATCAGCTGTAGTGTGTGGCATGCATTTATCATGAATATTATAAAAGTAGTTTTCTTTTTAATTTTTTCAATAAATGCCCTCATGGATACGTTTATTTCATTTAAAGTAGAATTTATTACAAATAACACTTGTAAAACTTCAAAAAATAAACAAAGGAGATTATTTAATGATTACATTCATATACTTGTACATAAATATTGCGTTCGCCAGTTGTACGTCGACTGCTTCACCCCGTATAAGGGTAATTTAATTAAATTAATTAAATTCTTTCCTGCTTTACTTAAATATATCGTACACTAAATTCGATGTTGGTAGTTATTTGATAGACTGAGCCAGATGTGTGTAAGCCATGTTGTGTTAAGCTTTTCTCGCTCAGCGATGGCATCCTGTTTGTAAAGCTTCCATTCGTTGCGGGTTGCTGTTGAGCGAGGACCCCACGATGGTTTGGATTGGAATGATTGTATGAGAGTCTGGAAATGAAATATTTGTTATAAAACAATTAAGATGTATTAATTATGAAGATTCAATTATATTTTTTGTACAAGTTTGCACAAATTTTAATTCAAATTTCTATTGCAAGATCTTTCTTAATAGATTATTATATTATGTGTTGTGATTATTATAGTTGAAGAGAAATAATTGCCTTTAAAATTTACAGAACTCACCTCCCTGCAATTTCCTGTCCTGTTCTTGTACATCACAAAGATTATACCTAGAGGGACAAATGCGACACCGACTAGCAGCATCAGGTAACCGGAAACTGGAAAAAATATCATAATTGCAGATTCTCTTTACGTTTCCTTAATATTTAACAATAAAGAAAAAACGTACCGTAACCTGCTGTCGGATAAGTATAATAACCGCCAAAGAGAAGTGCTTCGTATGAAACTAAGGCATAAATAAATACGACAATCATCATAACAGGGGTGATAACGCCCCAACAAAATCTCCAGTACATAGAAGTCTTAATTCCTAACATAAACTCAATGTCAAGACAGAAGTTTTCAAGTCCTGTAAAAATTAATTTATCATTATCGCTCTCATAATAAAATTTAAACGATTGTACGGATTACAAAAATACTTTAATATTTACCATAAATCCAAAATACACCGATGATTTCAGCAATTGCGCAGAAGAGTATAAGGAATGTACCACCGTAGTAATCAACGATTTCCAAGATAAATTGGCCACCCTGCCAAAAAAATAATGACATCTCATTTTAAATAAAGCACGAAAAAAATTTAAATTTAGAAATAAAGTGGACATCACATACTGGGGTGACGTAGACGAGTCCGATAAGGAAGCCCGCACTGCAACATATTGCTGACATAATGACGGTGGGAATGCGCGGGAAAGCGTCCATTACCACCGTGTTAATGGTTGACAGTAGAGCCACAGCTGAACCAACGCCCAACACTGACATCATTAAGAAGAACAGGACTGAGAATAGCTGAAATATATAACTAAATATTAGTTAAATATTATGATATAATAACTATTTAATACTCGTATATATATATACAATAGCTGAAATATATAACTAAATATTAGTTAAATATTATGATATAATAACTATATAATACTCTATATATATATATATATAGTATTTATGTGTACGTGAATATTTATTTACTCGTCAATGTAATTTTTAATCGTGAGCTAAGGCTTTAGCCAAAAAATGCTCCATTACAGAAAATCATTATTTTATTACATATTTGAATGATTTAAATAAAAATAGGTTTGAATGAAATATTGTACCTAGATAATGTTTTACTTTACTAACTTGTACTAGATAGGAGTAATGCCTGAGTAAATTATATTTTTTCTTATTGATTTCTGCATGATTTCTAGTTAGATTGCAACTGAACAATTTTAAATGAATCAATAACGTTGACTTAATCTCGATATCTATGTTCAGCAAAGCAGATCAGTGGTGGGTTTATGTACGTAATGGATCATGTTTTTTTATTACCAAATTTTTTAAGTAATTTATTAAAGAAAAACTATCCTTAGGTAGATGTATTTCTAGTAATATGCAATATTTGTTTAAATAAGTACTTAAAAATCCAAATTTAAAGTCTTTATTAACAACTGATGGTCATACCTGCGGCTGGAAAGTCTTGGCAATGGCATCAGGATAGGAGATAAAGGCTAAACCCGTTCCACCTGTGCCTACCACTTCACCCACTTCTTTTTTTAGCACGTATGCTAGATTGCCGAGGATACCGAATATTGTAACACCCGAAAGCAAACTTGTAAAAGTATCCAGTGTTGTCACAATCATTGCATCTCTAAAAAATAAAAATATAGTTTCTTACTGTAGAAATTGCGATGTGAATAAAACATTTTTTTTGTTCGTTTTGAAAAATTAATTGAATAATAAACCACAACGTTTCGCACATAAATGATTCCATACGAAAGTTGACTTTTTTGTTACAGTCTTCAAAATCAATAAGATAAAGGCAAAATAAGTAACAATTGTCTGTCTGATTCATTAGGGTGCTTATAGTATAGTTATATGATTAGGTACATGTTATCCTTTTCAGAGAATAAATAATATATAAAATTATAACCATTCTTATTAGTTTGTGAATATAACGTTCATCAACATGTTCAACGCCAACGACGGTTGCCAGATTTTATTTAAAACTAGCTGACCAGGCAGACGTTGTTCTGCCCTTTCCAACGACCCTTCCTATAAAAATCCTTAAATTCGCAATAAAATTTTTTTAGGGTCATTTATCGGGATAAAATACTATCCTATCTCTCAAGTTGGACCAAAATGCACTCAGTATGCAAAATTTCATTTAAAACAGTTCAGTAGCTTAAGAGTCCATCGCGGACAAACAACGTGACACCTAATTTTTATATATGACGGCACCAGCACCATTGCACGTGCGGCGCCTTTGATGTAGCTAGATAGAATTCTTATAAATAACACGTGTTCCGCACACCTGCACCATTGCACCTGCGGTGGCGCCCGTTTTGCTTGTATAAAACGGACGGAGTGGCCGCCGTTAAAGGAGTCTTGGCTCTGACGTGGAACGGTGCGCTTGTCGTATTCCGTTACTAATTTATCCTCGACTCGTTGGATAATTAATTCGTGCAAACGAATTAATTATTATTCCTAACTACAAAATCAGTCTCTGTACTATACTCAATTACCCTTCCTACATCAGAAGTGGGATAAAGTCCCCATTTTTGCCCACATACAATCTTCGAATAGTATGAGGATTATTACATTTGTGAAAGACTATAATGCATTCTGCATTGATGATTCTGTTTTTATGTTAAATACCGTAATGAAATTTGCTGTCCTACTTATGATATTGTCGTATCATTAAAGTGTAGAGAAAAGATAAAGTGAAATTATTTAAGCAATTTTTTTTTAATTTGTTCGATTTGTATTAAAAGTACCCGCAAGTATTTTCATTATTTCTTGACGTAACTAAATATGTTAACAAATGTCGAAAGAAATGTTGGAGGCTTTCTAATTAACTTGTTCAAGTTTTGTTGTAATTTGATAGTTCTCGCGAAACATGATTATCATTTGCTATATTTTGAAGTTCAAAACGTTTAAGGGTTGTACTACAATAAAGGATTAACTTTAACATGCTATGAATTGAAAATAATAAATTACATTTTTGTGTTCTAATGTGTTGATCAGTGTTGCAGTTTGCTCCGAATATTGTGTCGTTGACAAGATTGGGGTTTGATATCGAGGGATTCGTAGAAGTCTCTACAACAATGATCAATGAGGAAGACTTTGTGATGACTAATCGAATATGGTCAGGTACGGCCGAGCGCGGGTAGATTGAGCCTACACCGCTACAGTCGGTTACTTATCGGCTGATCTTACGGCAGGGCAATTCAAGCGGCCGCCGAACAAATGGTGCTTTGGCGCTGTAAATGGACGGCTTTCGTAGATTTTGCGCAGTTGCCTCCTTCGCTTCAAAATATGTTGTGGTATCTGTCTCTACACATAGTTTCCATTTTTTTTGCAATGTTTTCAAATTTCATACAGTTGCCGTTTCTTAAGAGAATATGTGATGAATTTTGGAAGCTCGGAATTCCATGGTTCGCAATACATTTATCTCGATTTCTTTTAATTTTGCACAGCAGTGCGACGATTCGCAAGCGCTAGTACGGCGCGACGGCTTGCTGGCGCGAATGTGTCACAAACGCAGCAGAACGAAAAGCTGTAGTGCGTTTGCCTGGAGGTAGCCATATCGGCGCGTTCCAGACATAAATGAAGTCTGGGATGTTCGACCGTTGTAATATTTAACAAGAGTTAATATCTGTTAGCAGGTGGTGATAACTGATAGACCGTATGCTGTTCACTGTCAACCGCACGAGGACGTGAGACAGTCAGAGGTAGCCGTGTCTGTGCATCTAGAAAATACTAGAGACGTTGCAACACTCTAGCGAAGTAATTATTCTAGTGCAGGAAAGGAACATGAAGTTGCAGGGAGGCTGGTCTGTGCTGCACTGGGATATGTGTCGTGTTGCTGTTGATTTACATACTTAGGTGTTATCGTGTCACTACGACCCTCACGATACACTTTTGTGTGATTGTGACGGGGACATGTTTGCGGTATGGTTGGTCTGTAACTGTTCTATACTGAATTGAAAAAAAAAAGAGAGAGTAAGAAAAAAAACTGGTTCTTACTATCATTGCAGGGCGTTTGCCGGTCCAATGATATAGCTACAGGGAATAGTGATTCCGGACTAGCAGAAATAGTACTTGAAAAAAAAATCGTAAAAAAAAAATAGTTCTTACTATCATTGCAGGGCTTTGTGCCGGTCCAATGATATGGCTATAGGGAATAATTATTCCGGACTAGCGAAAACAGTACTTGAAAAAAAAAAGAGAAAATAGAAAAAGCTACAGACTAATCATTCCGATCTAGCATAAAGTTGATTAAAGTTTTGTAGGGCTTACTGCCGGAACAAAACTGATTGTCACCCAAGTCTGAAGATATATATATATAGTCTGAAGATATATATAGACCGGACCAGACGCTGTTATGTCAGGATAGTAGAACGATGTTTTTTTGTCTACAGATAACTAAAATTGTGATGGAGCGCGTGCGAGGACGCACGCATGTCAGTATGGCCGTCACAGCACCAGCACCATTGCACGTGCGGCGCCTTTGGTGTAGCTAGACAGAATTCTTATAAATAACACGTGTTCCGCACACCTGCACCATTGCACCTGCGGTAGCGCCCGTTTTGCTTGTATAAAACTGACGGAGCGGCCGCCGTTGAGGGAGTCTTGGCTCTGACATGAAACGGTGCGCTTGTCGTATTCCGTTACTAATTTATCCTCGACTCGTTGGATAATTAATTCGTGCAAACGAATTAATTATTATTCCTAACTACAAAATCAGTCTCTGTACTATACTTAATTACCCTTTCTACATATATAAATATAACAAAAATATTTTTGGAACAAAATTCCTTATTGTACGATACGAATTCGACGGATGGAGGTCTAGGCGAGAAAAAGTGTAAGCTTTTTCCGTCACAACCCCTTATATATAGTGCGAGCGAGATGGAATAATGTTCATTCCCTCGCACTTAATCTTATCTTGCTATGAAAGAAATATTATTTTAATAGACGATACTAATTCATTTATTTGTATTTGTTAATCAATAATATAATACGTTTATCAATAATAATATACCACGAAAGGAACTTCGTTCCCACCGACGAGTGTTCCACGACACTCACGCATGTTTTTATATTATTATTTTCATATTCATTAATATAATGATGTTTTTTTGCATTTTCAATGCAGCTACTACGTGCCCCTGTCGGATTGAATAAGGTGTTTTATACATATTGTATACCAATAAAAAAATTTGGTCCTAGCAGAACATACCTGCGCGCTTTCCGCTTAAGGCATGCAATATATTAACAACAACAACTGTAAGTGCTATGTTTGCACTAAAGAAATAGTTAATTGTAATTTTAGGTGCCGATTTACCAAGCAGCCATTCTGGTAAATAGCCCACTCCTCCGATACTGGCGGGTTCGGTAATGCAACAGTAGTAGGGACATAGGTATTATATTACACCACATTTTTTAAATTAAAAAAAAATAAATATAATTTCGCAAATTGTACCATTAACTATTAGGATTCTGTCGCTTATAAACATATAATAATATTAATATCCGGTACCTGTAAACATTTTGTCTAAATCCATTGTAAGAAGAGAACATAATAATAGCACCAGTGCATACGGACAGCGAGAAAAATACTTGCGTTACCGCCGCGTACCACACCTGAATAAAGCAATATTTGATTAATATGTTTTTTAATATAAATATATGGATGAGTAAGGTGCCACCTGATGGTAATTGAATGCAGTATCTCATGAACAACTACATCTATCCTTGTTTAGATCTAGATACGTTGTCACCCTTGATAACTAAGCTTGAAGCTTCAAAAGAAGATTGATTTAGATGTAATTTTTAAGTTAAGATTTACATTTCAAGGTTATCTAAATATGTTAAAGTAATTATATGAAAAATTATAATTTTTTTTCTAACGCCGAACGAAGCTCGGTCGACCAGGTACGAGGTACTTTTAGTGTAAACGAGACTTACGTTGAGTTCGATAAGTTTTTCCCACTGTGGTGTTATAAAGAACAATATTCCGTCACCCGCTCCAGGAAGGATCGCAGTACTGAAATTCAGATAACAAAATGATATTTATTTAATAAAACCATATGATCATTTTAATAGCATTTATTGCTATATATAACATACCTGATGAGCAGAATGATCATTACGACGTACGGGAATAAGGCGAGGAAATACGAAGCCTTGCCTGAACTTTTGACTCCTCGAGCCACAATGAGGAAGATAATAACCCAAGATGCGAGTAAGCATAAAGTTAAATACCATATAGGTGCACCTGAAAACAAAATCTATGATTATAAAGAAGTCAAGCGTGGCGTGGATTATGGCAAATCTTCCATGCGATATGCATGTCAAAGGTGCACTTTAACGGGCTAATTGTTGAAGAAGAAGAAGTTGACATGACAGTGAAAGATAGAATAATAGAAAGGTAGCGTCTTATTCACGGTCCATCTTGTTGTACATCCGCTCAGCCACGGTGCTAGACGTAGCGTGCTAGATTGAAACATAACTTTAATAGCGAATGCACGGAATTTTTTGGTACCTAATGCCACCAGTGTTGTCAAAACGCCAAAGGGTGGGAATTCTGCATGTGTTATCTTTAGAACAAAAAAAGAAAATAAGGAAAAGATTCTGGATGAAAACAATCTATAAAAAAAGTGCCCAATATACACAAACTAATATTATAATGCAAGATTTAAATGTGATAGATTTAACGATTTAGATTTAGATTTAACGAAAACCAATAAAAACCGATTTTGAAAACTAGTGATACATAATTTTAATAAGAAGTTAGTCAACCCTACAAAGATAAATACATGTCTGTTCTGTAAGGCCATTTTTATTTTAGGCGGACTTAATGCCTTATGGCATTCTCTAACAGTCAACACTGGATGATTTGAGAAACTGTAACAGGTGTAAACAGTCACTTCATATACTCGTATTTAAGTAGTAAAGATACAAGTCGCGGCACGTAGAGGGACATGCACGAATTGAATTGCACGAATGCGACTGGAGAGCCAAACAGCACGTGCGAATGATACGCGCGAGCCAATCAGCGCGACTTATGCGCAATAAGCTAATCAGCGCGACTTTTGTGCAATAACGGTCACCGCTAGACTTTCGTGCCGCTACTGATATAAGATAAAATCAAATGCAAATAAATAGAATATAGTTGTTAAAAATATACATAATTAATATCTACTATATTATACAGAATAAATAATAAATATATAAACCGGTACTTATATACAAAATCTATAAATATTTAAAATAATATAATATAATAGAAAAATAAAATAACAAAATACTTATTAAAATACATATACAAAATATCACTTATAAAGTGAAAGAGAGGGGAAAATCAATAGTTGGATAAGTCAGGTGGTATTATTCCTATGATAGAATTTTCGAACTAGTCTCATAAAAGAATTCTTGTTACTAGTTTTCTTGATATCTACAGGTAAGGCATTTCAGAGCAGTATGGAATTAAAGAAACCACTCCTGTGTGGTGGAATACGAATTTTAAGACTATTTCGGGAACGGGAATATAGTTTCCCTATAGTTCTCCTAATATAGAATATAGTGAGTAGAATACAGATACTGAAAGTTATTTTTAAGATAAGAAGGAGAATTTGGGTCATTAAAAATTGAATAATAGTACTTGTAAAATTCAAGAGCTGCGCCTTTGACGAATAGACAGCCATTTAAGCTTAGATTTGTACTGGGAAACATCGTCATACCTACGTAAACCGAAAATCAACCTAATTCAATTGTTAAAAAGGTGCTCCAACTTATCGGAAAGATATTGAGATAGATCTGGGTACCACACATCCGCATAATCAATAATGGGCAATATCAAAGTCTGGATAAGTAGAAGTTTAGTTTTAAAAGGCAGAAAGTTTTTGAAAGGACAAAGAGAACGTAAGGTGGCAGTAACTTTACGGATTATTTCAGCTAAGATTCATGTAAGCCAAGATTTTGACAGATTTACAAAATGGCAGCAACGTCCCGTTGTAAAATATGGGAAAAAGAGTATCTTTATCAGTTACAACGGAACATCAAAAAGCTAACATCCTGCTCCTATAACCATAGCTTTATATTTGGATGGGTTAAGGCGCATGTTTGAGCAAAATGTCACGCTAGTCGTTATTTGTGCGGTTTTTAGGAGCTATCTACTTTTTATTTAAAAGATATATCAACTAATAAAAAACACATATTTCTACATAATCTTGATTCCATAAGAGTCATATCCAATTTTTTTTTAAAGGAATAAATATTAAAATAATCTCCTTACAACAAAACCACATAAATGTGAAATAATTATTGATGTATGTTACATCTCCTCGTAAAGTAAGCATTATTTTATTTTGAGATTGACACTAATGGATAGGCAATTTATTAATAAACATTTCTATCATATTTTTTTCATAAGACAAAAATTTGATTATTAAGAAATTATTTTAAAAACTGGGCGTATTCACTGCCCACGAGGCTGCTGGAGTCAGTGAGCGCTAAGCTCTTGAAGGTAGAACCCGTGTCGTTTGTCACGGCGTTGGCCAGCGCACACGCTCGCCACGTCATCTTATCAGTCGATAATATTATTATTACTTATTAGGTTATTTATAGGTATATTTATATATAAGTATTATTTGTTTCTTTTGGGTATAATTTTTCTAATTTTTCATCCTCATCAATCATCGGGGTGAGGATAATGTCAGCCAGCATAAGTAATAAGCAGGCTAAGTTACAAGCTGCTCAGTTCAAAAATTAGTAGGTAGGTATGTTACTTTTCAATACGTGACACATAAAAATTAACAATAATCCAAAACACATCTGCGAAACATCCTATTTATTTATTTATTCTTTATTGCACCAAATATTTGTACAAAAGGCGAGCTATCTATCTATTTACCTATAGCAGGTATCTTTTAAACTCACTATTTTCAATGCTTCATTTTTAATATATAATTAATTATAAAATTTCATAATTAGATAATATATGAGAATACATAATTCTAATATAATACAACTAATATACTGAATAAAAAAATTAAAATACATTTATAAGTACGCCGTGTGTATTTCCATTTTCCATAAAATCGTTTATTGATGTTGAAAAAATAATACTACGTTCGTACAGTAGGTGCGTCTTGCATATTTCTTACGCGATATATTGTAGCGAGTCGACGGACCGAATGCTCAAGGTCGTTCGATAGGAGTTGCCCCTTAAAGTTTAAGTTTAAGAAATTGGTCATACATACATGATGTTTCGTTTAACCGTTAAACGAAACATCATGTATGTATGACCAATTTCTTATGGCATCAAGGTTGTGGTAGAGTTTATTAATATTATCGTTATGGTCGGCAACACTAGATTTCACATAGAGCTGAAGATAATCTGCATACAGATGGTACGGTATAATTTATGAATAAATAAAACATTATAGGACAAAGTATTCCGCCTTGCGGCACGCCTGTTTCAATGTCAGCTCATGTTGAGAACTTTATCCAAATCGTACTGATTGCTGGCGGTCGCAAAGATTGAGAATCTAAGATTAGTTACGAAGGCTGTAAAGATATCGTGGTCGCCTGTGTTAAAAGCATATTTTTATCTTAAAAAAAAACTTTACCCCCACAAACACAAATTGCACGAGTACAAATATCCAGACCTGGAACAATTATTTGTAGGCCATACAAATACTTGTTGCGTGCGGGATTCGTACCTGTGGCCCCCAGCGCTACAACTCATTGCTAAGCCACTGCGCCGTTTGAAACCACCATCAGTTCCTGATTTGGATACTTCTTCTGTTGATAAAGATGACATCAAACTAAAATACCACAACGTTGGCATGTAAACATCGTATAAGGACGATCCTGTAGAAGAGTTGGTTTTGACCTTTTACAATTCTCGAAAATTGATATTTTTATGTTCCTTAAAACATCAATTTTTTTTTCGAACGTTATCTATAGTAGCAGCTTATCCTAGTATGGGGACCATATCAATTAATGCACATGTTCTTTTTTTATTCATGTAGCCCGGACTGGAGGAGTATCTCACAAATATAATAATTAGTATTTTTCAATAAACTGCGTCATATTTTCAGATCCGACATTTTGATTCTTTTACTTTTGATTTTTGACCTGGCCTTTTGTTTTGTTTAAAATTAAATGTAACTCTTTATTGGGATACCCAAATTATTTTTATTATTAATATTTATATTTATAATGATATATAACGTAATAAAATGTTTTATTTCTTATATTTACCATGTCTTTAAATTGATTGGCAGCAGAGCGAACGCATGCATTGTTACTATACAAAATTACAAATCTGCTGTACAGTCAGTATCCACACGATCTAGCATGCTTGATGCACGACATCTTTGTGATCTTTGACGTAGGTACGTCCGACCTATTCATTATCCATCAGCACGACACGAAAAGTAGTGGGAGGCTTGCTGGTTACAGAATGCATCTAGCGTGTTCAGCAAGGAATTAATAATAATTATTGACGTACGTCAAGCCTATTCATTGTTATTTTGCGTCGTGCATCATATATGACCTTGGCGGGGCGTACAGCAAGATGGACCGTGAATAAGACGCATAAAGGAAATCAATAGATCGTTTTATAATAAATTGACAAAAGTCAACTACATAAATGCATAATTATTAAATGTTTTATTATTATCTAAATCTAAATATATAAATATATATATATATATATATATATATATATATATATATATATATATACCTACTTAAAACTACCAATCAACAAAATGTTTCGTAGAACACTCGGTTATATTTTAATATCTTTGGAACTTAGTGCAATTACTTTGTACTAAAATATATATATATTTGAATTTAATTTAGTAATTACTAAATTGAAACAAGGTCATGTAAGAATAATAATCTTTATAATTCTATTATAAGGTGTAGCTATGTCCCGACTCATAGTGGCTCTGCACGTTGAAAATCAGCTGTCAGCTGGCTATTCCACCGGCGGTTCAGCTCCACAAATACAGTCTATTCGCCACGGTTAGGGATGCCAAGTTTTTATTATTAATATGTTCGATAGTTGTCAAATACGAAATTATGGACTTAAGTTCATTGCATGAATTATTCATATATTATTAGAGTACTTTTAATACTCACCGAGTCCTCCTTCAATGCCTTCGCTTTGTTGAAGAACAGTCTTCCTGAAACATGATTTCTTCAATCAAAAATAGAGTAGAAGGAATGATCTTGTAACTGATTTTGACAACTTGGTGGCGCAGTGGCTAAGCGCTGAGAGAGAAGTTTAATGTTCGTATGATGTTAATAATAGATATATTTCTTCTGCGTCTAGATGTTTAATTATTTAATTTATGTATGTAAAACGCCTCTACTATACGGGAGAAAATTATTTTGCAAAGTATTGGAGTAAGGGCGTGTTCCGACGAAACGCACCCGCTACGCGCACGCGACGCGCGTCAGCAGCCGCGTCTAACTCGCTTTGAAATTTGTTGTATATAATTTGAGTCTTATGACAAATCAATAAAACTGAAATTGCATTTATCGACGTTCAACCGCACACGCCTCGCCCACGCCACGCGCCCGCCACGCGCCTGCCTCGTTCCCGCTCCGCACTGATCCCGCGCTCACCCCACACTCGCGCTTTTTATACAATTTCAGATTTATTGATTTGTCATAAGACTCAAATTATATGCAACAAATTTCAAAGCTAGTTAGACGCGGGTGCTGAGACGCGTGGCGTGCGCATAGCGGGTGCGTGTCGTGGGAACGCGCCCTAATATGTACTACGTACTAGAAGAGACGCGGAGATTTGGTAATTTGCAACATGCGTAAGAGGGCTCAAACTTACCTAGTCTATGTTATAAAAAGATACTTTGAGCCTCCTTCCACACGCCCGCACTGCCGCATAGATTTTGTTCGCGGTATCTATTCTAGTATGTAGTACCTACATATTACTTCAATGGTACGAGGTTGACGATTTATAAAGATAATAGGATTTTGACTTCAGGGACAATTTTCCTAATACATTGTTATTCGCAATGCAGTGGTAGCTTAAGAGAATCCACCCCACATCATTCCATGGGTGTCATAAGAGGCGGCAGAGGAAAATGATACATGAGATGGTCGTTTAAAACTTCGTGATAAAACTCAAAATAATAAAAAACTGCCAAGCGTTGCAACGATGGCTAACATTGATTGAATGATAAGGCAATCTATGCGAGAGGCCTATATTCAGAAGTGTACTTTTGATAGGCTGTAAGAAATTAATGAATGAAGTTGAAATTATCAAAATGTAAATATTATTTTGTATTTAATAATAATATAATATAAGAGTGTGTAAGGAGGAATATGTCAAATTATCCGATTGCTTTTTTTTTCATAGGAGAGGGGGCAAACGAGCATGTGGCTCACCTGATGGTAAGTGACTACCGCCGCCCATGAACAACTGCAACACCAGGGGAATCGCAGATGCGTTGCCGGCCTTTTAAAAAGGAGTACGCTCTTTTCTTGAAGGTCCCTAAGTCGTATCGGTCCGGAAAAATCGCTGATGGTAATCGATTCCACAAGGAAGTCATGCGAGGAAGAAAACATCTCCTAAATCGCACAGTGGTGGACCGCCAATCATGCAGATGGTGTGGATGGTATCGGGAGTTCTGCCGCGATGTGCGTTCGTGAAATTTGGCGGCTGGGATTAATCCGAACAATTCCTCAGAGCACTTCCCATGGTAAATGCGAAAGAAAATGCAAAGGGATGCAACATCTCTTCGCAGTGCCAATGAATCGAGCCAATCGGAAAGGGCTCGGTCGTCGACGATTCGAGCCGCTCTGCGCTGGATGCGGTCAAGTGGAAGGAGCTGGCACTGAGGAGCCCCTGCCCAGAGATGGGAACAGTATTCCATGTGAGGCCGAACCTGCGCCTTGTAAAGTTGCAGACGGTGTGCCGGAATGAAATACTGTCCCGCTCTGCTGAGCACGCCAAGCTTTTTAGAGGCCAATTTGGCCTTCTCTTCCAAGTGACCACGAAACTGCACACTATTCGATATGTCGACTCCGAGGATACCGATACTGGCTGAGGCAAGAAGGACAGTGCCTTGAAACTGCGGAGATACGACAAAGGGGTTCTTTTTAGCGGTAAACGCGCAAACTTGTGTCTTCTGAGGATTAAACTGGACTAGATTTAGTCGCCCCCAATCCGAGACTTTGTTTAGCAAAGATTCGTCTTCAGACACAAGTTTGTTCCGGTACTCGGCGACGTTTTTCCGAGAAATATTGGCACGGCCGGTGTATAGAGCATCACCAGTGCTGTCATCCGCATAGCAATGAATGTTACCAGTTAGCAACATATCATTGATATGCAGAAGAAACAGCGTTGGTGATAGCACACAGCCTTGTAGAACACCAGCGTTAATAAGCTTGTAGTCAGAACATGCACCGTCTACAACGACCTTGATGCTCCGATCTGCAAGGAAGCTGGTGATCCAATTGCACAATTTCTCGGGAAGCCCATGGGAAGGGAGCTTCGAAAATAGCGCTTTGTGCCAAACCCGATCGAAGGCCTTCGCAATGTCCAGACTAACGGCCAACGCCTCCCCCTTGGACTCTACTACCTCCGCCCATCTATGGGTTAGGTAGACCAGAAGATCACCAGCTGATCGACACCGACGAAAACCGTATTGGCGGTCACTAATCAGCTGGTGATCCTCAAGGTACCGGATGAGCTGGCAGTTAATAGTGGATTCCATTATTTTGGAGAACAAGGAGGTGATCGCGATAGGACTATAGTTGGACGGGTCTGAGCGGTCGCCTTTTTTAGGGATCGGGTGGACAAAAGCTGTCTTCCATGAATTCGGGACTACGCCTTGGGAGTAGGAGTACCGGGAAAGACGCGTTAGGACCGGTGCCAACTCCGGAGCACACGTCCTCAGCACAATTGGGGGGATTCCGTCAGGCCCACTAGACTTCTGGATGTCCAGGTAGAGAAGTGCTTTGCGAACCGAGCGCTGTAAGAACAGCACATCCGGCATGAAGCACTCACACCGCAGGATGGTCGGCAGTGTTTTCCCCCCGTCATCAAGAGTCGAGTTGGGCGCAAAAAGGGAGCCTAAAAGGTCGGCTTTGTCTTTTGCGTCTTGGGACAGTGAGTCGTCCTCCCTGTGCAGAGATGGTAGTGATGGCTTACAGAAATTCCCTTGGACAGCCTTGGCGAGAGGCCAAAATGCACGGGTTCCCGAAGGAAGCCGAACTAGTTTCTCGCCAATTCTGCCTATGTGCTCTGACTTTGCCTTGGCAATAACTCTTTTGAAGGACCTGGAGGCGAAGTTATACTCCTTTTTAAGTGTGCTGGTGTTTACATCCCGAGTCGCCGAAGCCGCAGCCCAGGCTTGATAACACTCCTGCTTACTGCGTAATGCAGTCTTACAGGAGCGACCAAACCAAGTCTGAGATCTGCCTCCGGTGGATACCACAGATGATGGAATAAATAGTTCCATTCCCTGTAGCACCACATCAGTGACAGAGTCAGCAACAGCGCTGGGATCATCCGGCGAGAAGCAAACCCGCCCCATGGGTAGGATGCAAAGAAAGACCGCATTCCGTCCCAATCCGCCGACGCGAAGAGAATGTGAGTGGCACCATACTCCGGATCAGACAATGGTCCGAAGAGCCGAAAGGGGCATCGACGGAAACCCGATATCCGTCCGGATGAGAGGTCAGCAGAAGGTCCAACAGGGAAGGTGTATGATCCTCCACATCTGGAATCCGGGTAGGCGAAGTAACCAGTTGTGTCAGACCATATGCCAAGGCAAAGTCATAAACAGATCTGCCCGCATGATCGGTTAATCGTGAACCGAGCCATTCGGCATGGTGGGCGTTAAAATCGCCAAGGATCACGATCTCTGCGGATGGGACCTCCTAATGCGCAGTGGACCGTGCTGATTGTGCACGATGCCTGGATGACCGACATTTGGCAAATAATCCATAGAAAGAATTCTAAATTTCACAGACTAGGCAGATAGGGAGCAGCTTTACCGTTGCCAGAGTGTCAGCTATGTGCTCACTAACCCATCTCGAAGCGTGGCAAGTACGGGCATATCTTGCAAATGATGTTTACCAGCTGACATATTCTCGGAAAGCCCTATGTCCAACTGTAGCCATATGAAGGTTTTTATTTTTATTAGAATGAGAACGGCATACGAGCATAAAGTGGCCCACAGCAGGTGGACTTTATGCTCCACCATTTATCCTCGATTAAAGATCAAAATGCTGATACGTTGTTACTGGAACACCTCGTTTCAAGTAAAAAGGGGATCCGGTTTTTTGATGCTGTGACCCATAGGCACACGTCATCGATTAAGAATTAAAATTTAGATGTATTTGTCACTCAAGACTACGAGTACCATGGTAGAATATCTCGTTATGAATAAAAAGGGTATCCGTTTCTCTACACTCACCATAAGAAACACTGTAGCATTAAGCGGCCTTTTTACGCTGTTATTCTGTTTGTGTGTGTCCCTTACACCATTCCTGCTGCAACCATAACATATTTGCAGCACGTTGCTACCACGTTTCAAATATTTTTATGGATTTCACTTCATAGAAATATTTTAAAAGTGAAAACTCCTTTGGGTGATTTTTGGACGGATTGAATCCACAGAGCAACACGGACCACCGGCGAACCGGAAGTAACGATAGCGTTTTTCCCCGATACAGAATTATCTGTCATTTTTTGCGGGGGGAATTCTACGCACACGAAAACAATCGTCTGTCACTACGAAACTTACACAAACAATTAAAACAGTAAACTAATAATTTCATACACACACACACACACACACACACACACACACACACACGTTTAAACGTGGTAGAGCCATGTTGCAGCTATATTAGTAGTATAGTTGTAGCACGAATGGGTCGGCGCGACCGGGGAAGGACCACGCTCTCACAGAATACCAGCGTAAAATAGCAGCATAACACTGCTGTGTTTCATATGGTGAGTGTAGAGAACCGGAGACCCTCACGAGTGACAACGCATCTGCATTTTGATTCTTAATCGAAGATAGATGTAGATGTCTATGGGCCACAGCAACCACTTACCATCAGGTGGACTGTGTGCTCGTTTGTCACTCTTATCCTATAAAAAAAAACTCACACACACATAGTTACATTATAAAAGTATCGCTCGATGACAGCGACAAATTCGGATCAGTCGCTCGACCGATCAGCATATTGTATCAGATAACATGATCGTTATAATTGTAATTTTTAAGTTTTGAGACATGTATGAAAGGTTACGACTTAACGAATTTTTGTAGGACGTTGATTCAGCCGAAAACTAGATTTAGTCTAGTGTGCAGTGAGGCTGCATCTAGTTTTATTGTACGAGTTATTGTTTTATATAAACGACCACATGGACTTTGGAGGCTACTCCCCTCCGATCCACCAGTAGCCCGTGTTGTTCAATGGGTTAAACCTTACGAGTTCGCGTCACCGACATGTTAATGTTAATACAATGATAGTATATATGTGGCTTAAGAATGAAATTAATTTTTGATACTAATTGATTTGAAAAAAAAAAACACTTTGTCATTCTAGTTTTTGTCATTTTAGTTTTAAGTTTTCACTTCTGTTGGCAGTCCCCAATGACTGCCACTTTTTAGTTTTGCAAATGTCCACGTAGAATTAAAACATACATTTGTTCCTAATGTAGTCTTTTGTGATGTAGCGATCATGCAATAAAATCAAAACTAGGTTTGATTACATCATCAGAGTTTTTATATCTTAATTTTGATCATAAATACTCACACGAAATACAGCTCGGCACTACTCGTTGAATTTTCCGTTAAAACAATGTTCTCGGTCTGGTCCGACGGAACACAGTTCTTCCATTCGGGTTGGCACACGGCCCAGGGTAGAGTTGATTGGAAACTCATGGACAAGTAGTACAGACATAAGGCTATAATAGCTACGTAGTACGACAAGATGTATCCGCAGCCCAGGGCTTGAGCGTAACCGGTGCCTGCAATTGAAATAGAAGTATTTTTGCACAATTTTTTTAACTTGCATTTGTCCGAACTTGAATTTATTTCAATAATTAAGAAATTTTTTACAACATTTGTAGCGTCCGTTTTATAACATGAACAATCCCTAAATATGAACAAAATCCTTAAGTCACATTTGAACACGTTTTACGTGTAAGAGAGTTTTGCGATGGTGATGCTTTTGAGCACTACAAATACTTCAAATTCTAGACTACGTGAACAATACTGTTTTACATAAGTTTTGAGTACGTATTGAAAGGAAGATCATTTATATAAATAGTTTAGTATATATATACACGCACACACACACACACATATATATATATATATATATATATATATATACTAGAGATCCACCCCGGCGTCGCACGGGTGATTTCTGGATCGCGACAATAGCGCTATCTACCAATCCAGCTGTGAATCTAAACCATTCTCGAATCAAAATCGGTGCACACACAAAATTTCATCAAAATCGGTCAAGCCGTTTGGAAGAATTTCAGTCACATACCTACATGCGAACAGAAGAATTATATATATAAAAATTAGTTAGAGTAACGGTCCGAAGGCTGAGCCCCCAACCCGTAAATGGGGTCGCTTCCGATTCGGCAGAAAGGCCCTACAGGCCAAAGCCAGTCCCAGGTGGTGTTTAGTGGGTTAAAAAATAGGGTGTATTTCGTGAGGGAAGGACTTATGACCATAAGTGGAGATTTACGGTCTAACGATAAAAAAATTAAATGCGCACTAACCTTTCATAGCCGGTGATAAAGCCCATATTCTGACGGAATTTCGGGAGCTAAATTGTCCTATAACTCCTTCGAGATAGTACATAGGTTTTCCTATCAAAAGCAGCACAATGATGTAGGGAATAAGAAAAGCTCCGCCACCATTTTGGTAGGCGACGAAAGGGAACCGCCACACGTTTCCTAGACCTACTGATGTCGCAATACAAGACATGAGGAATTCAATTTGATTTCCCCACATCGCCCGTTCTGGTTCATTGTCTTCGACATCTTCCTGAAATCACAAATTTAGAACATTAGAGAGTGAAGAATGGGAGCAGGTAAATTCACCAAAAAATATAGTAGACAACAAGCAAAACACTTATGGGAATACCTGGTCTTCTTTTTGTTTAACGAATTCCCTCTTTTCTTACAAATTATAACGTAACAAAGCCTTTAAACCACCACCAAACAATATTTAAATCATTTATGAAAGGATATAATAAGAATTGTTAAATATCACGAGATTGCTCTCGTCTTTCCCATAGTGATCTCATAAGACACTCACGAGATAAAATGTAGAGGTGGATTCTCTTACGCCGACACCAAAATCACAAATTAGTTTTGTAATTATTATAATTTAACATAATATAACATATAAATTATATAATGTACATGGTGATAAAATCGATAATTTAAAAATTCTTTAATGTTTTTTTTTTATTTCAGTAAATATTAAAAGGCGATTATTCTTTATAGAAACTAAACATTGTCTAAATTAATATGTCATATTTATTGAATATTTTTAAAAACAATTATGAGAGAGTTTAACTTTTTCTCCAAATGTGCACCTGATTCAAATTGCTGAATAACGAGCAAGAGTCTAAAACAGAAAAATGCCGGTAAAAATATTCTGAATACCGAGCCCAAACCCCATCGACTAGTGACGGGATCTGTATCATTAGTGCGATAGTATCGGTTAAGCTCTCGTCAACTCTTCTGCCTCATGATGAGCATGTCTTATTACGTTCCTCAAAATGCCTCTTAAAAGCGATAAAAAATAGGAATATACTAAACGAAATGAAAATCAATAAAACTTACTTTCTTTTCTTGGTCTCCTCCATTTTTAGACGGTTTAATCATTTCTGACGGCATATGAAGAGCCTTAGAGTCTTTTGACGGTGGCACCCCGTTTTCTGGACTGGGATCAAATCCAGTGTTTATTTGTTCTTGATTCTAACAACAACATTTAGGTTAAAATAATACCATCCTAAAATGCTAGTAGCCTAATAGTAAACGGCATGCACATTGTTAAACTATTAAGTCATGAGTTTGTATCTGCCATTCCAAATTACTGGTAATATTAATAGCGTTGTTAATATTTTATAAAAATTCTAAAGACAACGTCATGACCTGAATTTAACATAGGTAATATTTGATAATAATCATTAACTTATTGTTAATCGATAATTACGCTAGTAATTAGACTCTTATCACCCAATTCTAATAAAACATAAAATGGCCGTCAATTAGCTGTTAGTACCGCAATTATTCAAGAAAGATCATAATGTTATTAAATGCAATATTTTTTAGACTAAATATTAATATAATTAATAGAATCAGGCGTTACTTTGCGGAAATCCATTATATAAAAGCTGTTAGAAAAATTTACTTTGCAAATATCCACGTCATAAAATAAAATGATGTGTCTTCTTCATACTTGGTAAGACACATCATTTTATTTTATAACGCGGATATTTGCAAAGTAAATTTTTCTAAAAGCTTTAATAAATATTAATATACTTTTTATATTATATCAAATAATTAAAAGTCCTTTTTATAAATACAAAGACCTAATTTCACATTTTCAACACCTTATAATCAGTGGCGTCCAGTGCGTTGGCACCCAGGGCGGGTTTTCTATAACGCACCCCCAAATAATACAAAATGCTAAACATGCTTACTGGACTTTATTTTGCTAAATTATCCTATTCATCATCATTATCATTACAGCCCTTCACAAGTCCACTGCTGAATTAAGGCCTCCCCCAAAAAATGCGACAAAACACGATTCTTAGCCACCCGCATACATCGACTTCCTGCATGTCTTACCAGGTCGTCACTCCATCTAGAGGGGAGCCATCACACACTTTGCCTATCGGTACGAGGTTGCCATCCGAGAACCTTGTTTCCCAATCTGTTGACGGGTCTTCGAGCTCTATGGCTGGCGCATTGCCACTTCGGCTTACTAATCCGTAGGGTTATGATGGTTACTCTAGTTCTACTGCGAATATCCTCATTTCTAAGATGATCACGCAGACAAAGTCCGAGCATAAAGCTTGCGACCTTTAACTTCCTCATACGGATAGCAGTAAAAGACCACGTCTCAAATCCATAAGTCATCCACTGGCAACACGCACAGGTTGTACAATTTCGTTTTCAAGTTTTGAGGTATACATGACGGAAAGATGTGACGGAATCTCCCGAACGCTGCCCAGCCAAGTTGAATCTGTCGATTGATCTCTCGGTCGTAGTTGTACTTACCTGGTCGGAATATTTGTCCCAGGTAAACATACTCGTCAACAACTTCGAGCTTAGTGCTCACAACAATTACCGGCATAGGTGTGATATGGACGTTACACATGATCTTTGTCCATGTTCATCTTAAGACATATCCGTTGGGAAACACTATTGAGGTCATTGAGCATAGTGCTTAGGCCCTCCAGCGATTATGCGATAAGGACTATATCGTCGGCAAATCGAAGGTAAGTGATGTACTCGTCATTGTTATTAATATCGTATCCTTTTCAGTTGAGTAGCTTGAAAAGGTCTTCCAATACAGCGGTGAAGAGTTTCGGGGATACAACTTTACCCTGTCTGCAATTGGGATAGGTTTCTTACTCTGGTTCTGTACTCGAATAGCCATCATAGTTCTACTATACAAACACTTCAGCACTCCGATATACCGACAGTAAACTTGCCACTACTGAAGGGAATGCAGAACCGCCTAAATTTCGACGGCTTTCTCATAGTCCATATACGCAAGACAAAGTGGTAGATTGTACAGTTTGCGGAAGGGTGCTAAAGCACTCCAATTCTGCTTCACGCCTCCGGAGTAGTGCCAACATGGAGGATGGAATTAAAGATTTTCTAGAGGACTTCAAGTACCGGTCTTCTACCGGCTTTCAGAACCTCCGCTATAATTCCATCCTCACCCGGGGACTAGCCATTTTAAGGTGCTGGAGAGCCATTATAATTTCGCTCAAATTGACGTCCAAGATACATAAGAGATATAAGATAGTTTAAATCTTATCGAGGTTGCCGCAAGAGATACCGCTGATTTTGTAAATAAAATTAATAATTTCTTTGATTCCTTATACTCAAGTACACTACGATCTCCTAGTAAATTCGATGCGACAGTTATCAAATTAAATTTTTAAATGCTAACATTTGCAGGTACTTAAAATCAATAAGAAGTGATAGGCAGAAAGACGTTACAAATAGCATGAATTTCATTCACGGATTTCAAGTGTCTATAAAATCTTTAATAAAAATTTATGAAGAATTAAATTCAGAAGAAATTTAATTAATTTATATTTACGACATGTCTCAATCAAGATTGCCTCGAAAATTTCTTTGGAACAGTTAAACAAGCTGGTGGTAACTGCCAGGAACCAACATGTCGTCTAGTTAGAATTGCCTTCAATAAGATGTTTATTACCAATATCTTAGGGAAACCTTAAAGTACTAATTGTGAATACGATTTCGATATGTTACTTATGAAATGATAGTCGTATTTTAATGTTTCTTTCGAAGTCAAAATATTGGAGAAATTTTTACTCAAGCAATTCAACAAACGCGATAAAATTGTCAGGAATTATTATAAAAAAACCCCATTTAACACTATCTTTATTAAGATCCTTAGAATGGCTGAAAAAAGATCTTTTCCAATATTTATAGGTTGTTCAGATCTATTAATGTACAATTTTATTTTCTTAGATTTGTGGTGTTCGAAACAACATTTTCTAAACAAATATACACATAAACTAAACCAGTTTTTTCTGATAAATCAAATCGATAATCATTTGTTCCTACTGTTAACACAGGTAGATGCTATAGTAGGTATAGTAGGCTATTTATTTATTGGTATGACTTTGCGGAATAATTTAATAAACCTAATTTGTTATTTATTATCTATTTAGTTGTTATTTATATCGTTGCATTGTTTCGTCTTCTCAAATAAAGTTTATTTTATCTTTTAAATGATTGAGGATGAACTTTCTTCTGATTCAACGACATGGCACCGGAACAAAAAACATAAATTGTTGGTGTTCGGGTCTGGCTGTATCTCCGTGTAAACACTTGTTAGAATAATTCCTGCGCAGCGAAGGCTTCCGATTTTTCGCAAAAGGTAGGTGAGTATAAGTGAGTGCCTCCATCTTTGCGGAAAAACTAAATAACTATAACTCATAAGTTATTTTTACGCTAATATTCTGTTAGAATATGATCCTTTCCAGGTCACGCGCCCGTTCGTACGGCAGCCATAATATAAATATAACTGCAGTGTAGCTCTACCACGTTAAAAATCTCCAGAGCACAAAATTCACTATAAATATCTCTACTTATTCTTGATTAAAAATTCAACACTACTGAGGACTAATAGGCAATGCTTCGTAACTACGAGTAGTTAAGTGTCCCAGTGTTTGCCTCTCACCATGCGGAACACATTACCATTTTCCGCTATTTTACGCCAATTATCTGTACGTGCGTTGCAGTTTAAGTATAAAATATACCTATAAAAAATAAAATGTACGAATCTGTAAATTTGCGTCTGCTTTTTTTTCAAGAACCAATTCTATATACTGGCTGATCAATAATTTTTGGAAACGCAATATAACTCTAGGATAAGTATATGTAACTTGAACTTATCTTTAACGTAATCGCCTCATATAAGCTAATATAACTTGAATAGCATTTTGCAAGTTATTTAATTCCCTTGGGAATAAAAAGCTTGATCCTGGGTCTCGAAAAAGTCCTCTACTGCACACATCACGTCATCGGCGCCGTCGAATTATATACCACGCAATGGAGTAGTAGATGGAAAAAAGATAAAAATCACATAGAGTTAGATCCGGAGCATATGGTGGGTTCTGCATCATATGAAACCCAGTAGTTCGGATGGCAACGCCTGCAACATCAGACCGATGGATTGGGTATTATCATGACGTAAAAGCAATACAGCACGCAATTTTCCTCGATGTGTTTTCTATAGTTCTTCGCGTAGTTTTTTGGTTAATGATGTGTAAAAATATCCGGAATTATTGTCTATACTTAAATAGTCGATCATAAAACAGAGACAATTATTTTTCCAGCGGACGCAGACACCTTGAATCTCTTGGCTGACGGGGAAGACGGCCTTTTCCACACCTTACTTTGGTTTTCCATCTCCGGCTCAAAATAGTGTACCCACGTTTCATGTACGGTTACGAAACGTGCGCTATAAGAAATAATAATACTCCAATTATTGCTAAATTTAACTTTGAAATGTCAACTATTGCTTTCTTTTAAGTGTCTGTTCGGACATTCGAGGAACACAGCGCGCTTCCACCTTTTTGAGTTTTAAGATATGAGTTAAAGTAAACTGAAATGGACCAAGCTAAAGCTTTAAACTCTCAGCTAAATAACGGGTTAACACACGTCGATCTACATTAACAATTACTTCGATTATTTTTTAACGTTTTCTTGCGTAACGGCCGTTGTTGGCTGCCCAAAGCGAGTGTCGCGTTTAAGTTCAGCGCACCAGTATGCCACTGTATAATAAGACGGAGCATTGTTTGCTAAATTATACTGCAGTTCTTCAGAAACACTTTGCAGATAAAAAAATTCATTCAGAAATATTTAATAATCGCACAAAGTTCTAGTTTGTCCATTTTGCATATAAATCCTATTCCCGCCAAATGTAGAGATTTAAAAAAAATGGTACCTATAGTTTTTTGGAAACGAAGTTCCTTATCGGACGGTACGGGTTTGGCGAATGGGAGCTAGGCGACAAAAAGTGTAAGATTTTTTAGTCACTACGAGTACCCCTTGTGTCATCATAGTGTATTTTATTTTAGATGACGCTACATTGTAATAGACGCTAGTAATACATTTATTTGTATTTGTTAATCTATACAAAGAAATAAAATTGAAGTGTCTGTTTGTAATGTCAAAATTACAGGTTTTTACTTAATGCA